GCAGATCGTGTCTTTTCCTCACATCGCTTTACAGTGCTGCGGGCCAAAGAAAGTTAAGGGACGGGCCCTTACATAACGAAAAGGAGCGGGGTTCCTGTCCGATGGCGCGGAAAGAGCTTGCAGTTCAGAAGCTCAAGTCTCTCGGTTGCTCAGGAAGGCCACTGACGAAAACATTTGAAGCATCTGCACGGCCTGTGTTTCCCCTTAGCAGATTCTTGTAAGGCTAGTCGCTGGCTCACAAAAAACAGGATGTTCCGCGATGGCTTTCTCTCGACGAGCAAAATAAACCCTCCCTCGGACCCAAAGCCTTACAAGGGGCTGCACAAATGCTTGCCATGCATGTGTTAACTAGAGCGAAACAAGGCTGAGCACATGTCAAATGTGTTGAGACACTTTCCGCGCAAGTCCTGCCACTTTTCAGCTGGCCAAGGCAGTAAGGAACACTTGAATATCCTGTTGCGCGTGGCACATTGTGACGCTAAGGGCACGAGCGTTTGCAATTTAAGTTTGCCGATTGCTCCTTGATTAACGAGGGGAAGAAGGGCTGGGGTTGGCTTGGCATGTGCGGCACTGAAGCACCGCACCTGCAATTCAATTCGGCCGATTGCCCTTCACCCTGACGGAGTGAAGGTTGTTATCTTTAAAGACTGCTGTCATGATCTTGTAGTCGCCAGGCAGGATCAGGATAGCCTTGGGGCGCGCGCGCGCGCGCAAAACACTTGCAATTGAGGAATTCAAGTCTGTTGCGATTGCTTGGCGATTGGCCCTGGGAAGGCCATGGCCACAGCTCCCACGACCTGCGATGCGTCCGGTGGATTGAACCTAAGCGCCGGCATCTTCGCCTGCAACGCGCCGGCCACGACGCCACGCCCGGCCAATACGCCGCGATGATCGCCGCGAGGTCCCATGAACCCGCCAGCTGCTGCGAGGTCGCTTGGTAGACGGAAATGACGAAAGATACGGACTCGGCTTCGGGGACTTTCGAAAGCATGCAGGGAGCACTGAAGCGCATTGTTATGTTGACGCCGGCTGCATGTCGGTCAGGCGCATCTAAAATAGGGAAGTGTAGGAATGACAGCCTTCAGCTGCGCAGCCTGCGTGCAAGATCGGCCCCAGCGAGTTGCAGTGCTCAAGCTAATGGGCGCTTGGAGCGCATGAGGCGAGGGGCACATCTGAAGTCAGCTCGCTGGCCCGGTGAATGCGCCTGAAGGTCACTCCTCACAGATCGTAGGTCGGATAGGAACGCGTTTCAGAGGCCAAGAGACGCTGGCAAGACAGGATGCTGAGTCTTGGGAGGAGATGCTCTGGAAGTCAGCAAGGTCGGATATAAGGCTTTTTTCATGCCAGCACCATCAACAGTAGAGCGCAAGCGACTCGCTCGAACAGTCTTGAATATAGGCCGGCTTTTGGACACATGGAGTCATTGCATGGCGAACCGATGTAGTTGCGTAGGCCGCAAGAGTGCAGGCACCAGATTTTCAGGGTGCTGGAATGAGCCGTAACTGCCTCGCGGCAAATATGATGCGAAGTGCGATCGCCTGGGATGCGTGCAGCCTCGCTTGTGAATGCCATGGCTTGGGCTTGGCTGAGAATCTCATGCGCCGATTGTTCAACAGCAACTGACTCCTTCAAGCTGGCAAAGCTGGCAGAAATTCTGCCCGCATGGCTCAGGCAGCATCCATCAAGGCGCTCGGACCTCTTGAAAGACTGAAAATGGCCCGAACATGGTCAAGCAAGGCTATCAAGCTGCTGGTTTCTGTTGGCCATGGCCGGACAGTAAGGAGAGCTTACTTGGCAAAGCTGGGTAGTTACGGCCGCAAGAGTGCAGGCAGCTCACGTTATGGTCTTGAAATAATCCATGACTGCACGGTGGCAAAAATTGGACGTGTGCTGCTTGGGCTGAGCCCAGCTTTCCTCAAATCATATCTGCGCTGGTAAATGCGGTGGCTTGGGCTTGGCTGCAAATCTTATGCTCCGATTGTTCAATTGATGCAGCAGGCCAAACATCTGCTGTGGCTCAAGGAGCCGCATCCACGACAGCGGATGGATTGTCCGAGAAGGTAATCAAGATGCTCCCCGCTGGCTGTTGCAGGACCGCAAGGAGAGCTTACTTGGCAAAGCTGGGTAGTTACGGCCGCAAGAGTGCAGACTCCGTGACTGCACGGTGGCAAAAATTGGACGTGTGCTGCTTGGGCTGAGCGCAGCTTTCCTCAAATCACATGTGCGCTGGTAAATGCGGTGGCTTGGGCTTGGCTGCAAATCTTATGCTCCGATTGTTCAATTGATGCAGCAGGCCAAACATCTGCTGTGGCTCAAGGAGCCGCATCCACGACAGCGGATGGATTGTCCGAGAAGGTAATCAAGATGCTCCCCGCTGGCCGTGGCAGGATGGCAGAGAGTGATGTCTTGGCAACGCAGTATACATACGCAGGCCGCAAGAGTGTAGGCGACTCACGCCTTGAAATTTGTCATGACTGCATCAAGGCAAATCGGATGTGTTTTGCCTGCGCAGCGCGGCTCGGGTGTGTCTAGACGTGTGCTGCCTGGGCTGCGGGGCGGGCTCAGATCAGATACACACAGGTAACAGCAATTGCGCAGGCTTGGCTGCAAACCTTATACGCCGACGGGCAAGACAAACAGAACTCCCGCCTCGTTACTCAGGCAGCAGCGACGGGTGGGCGCGTTGGGCACAATGCTACTCCGTGTTTGCCGTGGAAGGGCGACAAAGACGGAACGCTTTTCTCGACAGGCAGTGTAGCTGCGCAAGCAGCAACAGTGCCGGCGACTCGCTCTGATGGTCTTGAAATAACTCATGACTGCATCAGGGCAAATAGGATGTGCGCTGCCAACACGGCGTAGCTTGGATGTGTTTAGACGTATGCTGCCTGAGCTACGAGCTGCCTGGCTCAGATCAGATTCGTGCAGGCGCGTCTGCTCGGGCTTGGCTGCAAACTTATAGGCCGATTGGCCGACTATCAACTGATTGCTTCAAGCTGTCAAAGCTGGCAGAAGTTCTGCCCGCATGGCTCAGGCAGCAGCATCCACGACAAGCGTCGGATCTAGCGATGCAATCAATCCGCTGCTCCCAGTGTGCCATGTATGCAAGCCGTAAGAATGCAGTCAAGTCTTGAAGTATGCCGCGACTGCCCTGGGCGTGTGCTGCTTTACTTTAATTAGACTCAGGCAAGTAAATACGATACCTTCGGCATAGCTGCAAATCACCTGAAACCTTCAAGCTGGAAAAAAGGGCAGAAAGTCTGGTCCGATCTTCTGCACGACTGAATAGGTACTTGCCAACGCAGAGCGCAAGAGCGCAGGCAATTCATTCGGGTGGTCTTGAAATGAGCCGTGACTGCATCGGGGCAAATCGGATGCGCGTTGGCTATGCTGCGTGGATTTGCTGTGTCTGGGCGTATGCTGCCAGGGCTTGGCTCCAAATTTTATCGCTCAGATCTCTTACAGGGCGCTGAGTCTGCTACTGCGGCTTGAAAGGCGGCTTGGGAAGGGCGCAAAGAAATGCAGCTTGGACTCATGCCCTTACCTGCCTGATATTCGTCAGGCAGTCGACACTGTGAGCAGGAGCTTCTGCCCTCTCATTGCTTCACCAGAGCTCGCATTCGGACTCGCCAGCGACTGAACCTCACCCTGGAGAAGCCCAGAGCTGATTCACTGACGCGTGCGCGGGATCAGGTTGGCACGAGTCAGGCTTCAACCATGATACCTGCGGAATGGGATGGCACTGCGCACTAACCGGGATGTCAGACAAGCCCGTTATTCAAACCAGGGTTGCGCAGCTGAAACACGGCCGAGCTTCAGCGCTCACAACGCTTGGGCCGAGCCGTGCCTGCGGCTCATTCCAACATCGCAGCACTCTTCGCCAGGGACAGGCGATGCTTAAACAGCGCCGCTACGAGGGTGAAGTCAACGACGGCAAGGCACTCGCCCGAGATGCCAGCAGATGAGTCCTCACCGGGACGTTCACCATGGAAACTTGGCCAATGATAATCCAGGATCCCTCTTGTTAAATTATTCCATACAACGGGGCCGCATTTCTCGCCCGGAGGGAAGGGTTCAAGTTTGGCTTTGAACATCCCAGCCTCATGGTTCGGGGCCATTCCGACGGCATTGTTGGATCTGCGGGCCACCGGCAGCTTCAAGTGACTGGAGTCCGGCAACATGGCAACTGCGGATCTACCGCATGCTGTGTCTTTCCTGGGAAATGAACAGCCCCCAGACCGAGCAACGGACAACACATGCTTCCCCAAAGGGACATGGGTTCTTTGGGCGATCCTCCATGTCCACCGTGACAATTAAGTCAGACCCAACAAGTGTTTCAGCGAACATGCAACACAGTGTAGGACGCACATTCATCAACAACTCTTGATGGCATGGACCATCTCCAAGACTGACCAACCTGCCTGTTTCCTTCCCATCGGCCGCTAAGCCTTGTTTCTGCTGCTACTGCGGCTGCTACTGCGGCTGCTACTGCGGCTGCTACTGCGGCTGCTACTGCGGCTGCTACTGCGGCTGCTACTGCTGCTAGAGTCTTCGTTGCCGCCGCTGCTGTTGTTGCGTTTGAGGTTGCGTTTCAGATTGCGATTATGCTGCGATTGTCTGCTCCTCATGAAGGTATGAAGCAACCAGCGGCCAAAGGCCCGAACCTGCCACTTGTGAGCAGTTCTCACTCCAATGTGTCAGCCAAAGCGGTGCAGGGATTGGAAACGCAACCTCTTGCAGACCGCTCTCAGCAGCTCAGTCATTATTCTTGCAAGTCATGCGCAAAGGGTGAGTCTTACTTACATGGACATTGGCGATGCTTCTGCATCATGAAGTGGCTGTGGGTCAAAATATGTACGCATGGAATCCTGGTAAATGGAAACATGGACCAAAACCTGGCGGTTTTGGGGTGGTTTAATTTTGACCCATACCCAAGTCGCACAGTCCCCTTGGAAGGTGGATCTACATCACGCTTCCGTTTCGGCGGCCCGCGGTTCTTTTGTCTAGGGCAAGGAGAGAACCTCTGGGAAGTCCGGTACGTCACCCACGAAAAGCCTGGAGAAATGCCATGTGCACGTGTTTCACATGTGGAGCGCTCATGTTGCTTCACAAGTAGAAACCTAAGCTTTAAGGCCTCAGTTTGGGATTTGGGTCTCGGTGAACTAGAGGTAGCTCGACTAACTCATCAGCGGGGGGGCATCCCTCTGAAAGGACACTTGTCGAGTTGAAAGTCCCCTTGAGGGGTTCTTTGCCAGGTTGGACGATTCACTAAATACGGAGCCCCCAAGCAAGGCCGCGTTTTTATCAGGGGGCTCATTTTGCTCCTAGGCGAGCTCGTCCAATTTGAGCCATTCTACAGGGAGCACGAAAATGGGTGTGCCTCAGCGAAATCAGTTGACCCCTAGATGCCGTCAGAACGGGGTGGAGCGCTTTTATAGCCTGAACCGCGGCCAGTGGGTGACAAACAAAAACAACACGCTTGAACAAGACACACCCACGAATTAACGCTTGAGCGGGAAACAAGGGACGAAAAACTATTTTACCGACGTCCATGTCCGATTGGAAAGTCTCTGCAAACTCATCAAAGGTGGGTCACTCTATGGCGAATTGATCCATCTTAGACAAAGTACTCTGATCGGTACTGGCACCCGAACATTAGACAAAGTATTCTAATATCCCCCTAGCTTAGGAGGGCTTCCCAAGCACTGTCCAAATGGAATTTCAGGGGTCACCCCCCTCCTCTAACTCCATTTTGAGGAGGTGGGAATATTTTGGTTATCCATTTCACCCACGGGGGCGGAGGTCGTCCAAACAAAGAGGCCCTTCCTGAAACCCACGTGTTGGGCCACTGTTCCGATAAATATGTTTTCCGAAAACAACGAGTGCTAGCAGAAAGCAATAATGTTGTTGAATTATGTGTATGTGTGTGGTTAAACTAAAGTAATTCAATATGCATGTATTTGTCAACATATGATGTAAATGCGTGCTGAAGTAAACAAAAACAAGCAACTGCAATGTTTAAGCTGGATTTAAAATAGGAACCCGGTTTCTATTTGAACAACCTGACAAGGGGACCCTCAACAAGCACACACCCAGTTTTGTATCCAATCAGCCTTCGAAACATGCAATGTGCGGATTCGGCACAAGTTTCAGGTCCGAGGCCTGCGCATACCTCATGTGTCAACACTTGACTCTTTGGCCCTGGTTTGAACTGGGCATGGCAAAACCAAAAAACGCTGTAAACGCGGCCCAAACTCATTTCAATGCCCTACTCATGCGCTTCGCCTCTTGGTGTTGGCTTTGGCAAAACATGTTTTTCATATACACACACACACACACAAATCGCTGCGCTGCAAGTGGTATCTCTTTAACATAAAATGTACATTATCGGCCTTACTAAGCGACTCAGAAATATATCCAAGGGAGCAGTCATCCGAACAGGCAAGCCACGCAAGACATGGCAACAGCTGCCAAAATGAACCTTGTTCTCACTGTGCTTTCTTGATGGAATCATGTTAAAGGGGTCCTCAATCTGTCCTAAACAAACACACTTGCGCAAAATATGCATACCTGGACACCATTTGTATATGTGATGTGGAATCTCAGGATGGTCGGCTGATTGAACGTTTTGTTGATGAAACTAATTAGTACGTGTGAAAACTAGAAGTCCGCTCAAATGGTAGGGATGACCCTTCAGTGTGTCAAATGCCCGTCATGGTTGACAAAATGGTTTCCTTTGAGGAATCGAGTGGCAAAAAGCAGGGTTCCACACTGTCCTCCAAAGGGAAGCTCACTTTGAAAGAAGCAACATTGTGATGTTCGAATCACCAAAAACATGACTCCGGCCCCCTGAATATGTGAGCGGGTAGCAGCGGATAACATCACCAGACAAATCCGAATGCTGGAAGAAGACAAGAACTAATATTCCCTATCCACCTCCAAACTGACAGGAACCCTACTTAATCCCCGCCGTGAAGTGTATGTTTCTCAAAATAGGCAACCCCGAGAACAGGTAACCGCTTCCTTTTCGTTCCCTTAAAAAGCCATCACAAAAAGGGGCCGCCGTTGTGAGAAGCCCAGCGCATGCTTGCGCGGAAATCGCCTCTGCAGGTTGGCCATCTCGCTGTTCAGCAGCACGTTGCGTGCAGTGAGCTGGCGTCGACCCCGAGCAAAAAAGGTCGTGAGCGACCAACAGAATTACGACAGTTTTCTCCCACAACCGGCGGACACTTGTTGTGTCCCTTTAGGTTTCCCTGCAAACCAACTCAAGAAAGAGCAATACACACCAAAATGTTTCGGGGCAGGACTTGGGGGCCCGGTCACCTTGTTTGGCTTCGCTACTGGACGGCTTTGAGGCATGGGAGGGTGGGGTCCCTGGTATCACAGAAGTGGGAACCAACCTGCAGTTCAAAAAAGACCGCCGCCCTGTTCTCCCAAAGCAGAGGGAGAAACTTCAAAGACAAACCACACAGAAACAACTCAACACACAAACAAGACACAATCAACGGCCACATTCTCACTTCTTCAATGAACTGGCCCGGAAAAAAAAAGGAAAGAATCAAACACCCTTTTGGGTTTTGCAAGAACTCGCGGAAAGAGCTAAGCAAAACAAAGTCAGAAAAAAACACCTTCACCGCTTCCCCGACCTTGCGCAACTGCAGTGGGACCTCCATCCAGACCTCCCGGAAGGATTCCCCGATCTCCTCTGTGCGTGGGTGTGTGCGAGCTCGTGTTTCTGCGGGAACCCAAAGATGATGGTGCGCCGCCTTATAGCTTCAAGAAAAAAAAAAAAAAAAACAAGGGGTGCCCACAAAAACACACCAACATGTGCGAATGAATCTTAAATGGCAGGGGACACTTTGGCGAACATCATTTCCAGGGAATTTATGTCCGCTCACTTTGGATGTTCCAACCATCAGAAGGCATAGACATGTTGCAACAATCCCAGATTTGACGGAGGAAGCTGGAAATCCGAAAAACCTCGGGCAAAAGGCGTTTGGCCAATACGGCAGGAGTCGGAGGAAGCTGGAAATCATTGGCTGGTGCTGGTCTTGGCCACCGTACATTGGTTTGACAACCCTACCATTTGACTCAGTTGCCCAAAGGACCCAGAAACAAAAGGTTAACCTTTTGGGGTCATGACTAAATATGGACCAAAATGGGAAAACCAAAGGTCAAAAGGTCGGCTTTGAACAACTGAGTTGACTCACAGATCACAAACGTTGGAAGCCTTTAACCTTTGATACCACCCGGGAACCTGAACATCGGACAAATCTGCGCTGGCCCCAACGGCACCCATTCAGTGATCCCTCGGATAAATGGCTTTTGATCCAAACAAAAAATAATAACTTGCTTTGAATGGTCGTCAAAGGCAAATACAGTGAAATCCGACATGGGCGTTTCCTAGAGCTGTCGGGTGACATTCGCTGGGCTCAGCCGACATTCACTGGGCAAAGACTAGGTTTGGCGATGGGAACCGTTTGGTCGTCAACATGTTTGGAGGGTCCTGGGATGTCCTGGGTCCTCCAGCTTCGGTGTTACCTTCCAGCCACAAAATTGAAGATGGGTTACGTTCTATATGAAAATTCAAGGTTCGAAATCCCCAACTGCATGTTGAGGATTCCTCCCATATCCTTGCGATCACTTCAAACCCTAGGTGCCCACTTGCAAAGTAGATGGCAACAAGGAAGCCACCCACCTGCAACAAGTGGAATCAAACTAGTTTACAACCAACATCACCAAAAAGAAGGACACCCATCGCCTACAACAACTCACGTCAAACTCCTTCAAAGACTCGCGCTACCTCCTCATGACACGCCTGAGACAGAAAAACTGCTGACCTGCCGCCACTGTGGCTATCTAATTGAGGGTGAATCAGCAACCTTCAATGCTTTGTCTCGTCTCCACCCCCCCGCCCCCCCAAAGAAAACAACAACAAACAACAAAAACAGTTATATCCACCTCCCCCCCACACAAAAACACATAATATACACATGTATATAAAAGAAAAACACAATGCTTGGACACTGAGGGGTTTGAATGTGGGATTCGAAGCAGCCGTTTCCTGAATAATGATTGCGAATCTTGTGTAGAATCCCCCCCTTCGCCGCGTCATTTGTTTGTATTGGATGGGACTAGTCTCCAAGCAGTATTGAGGATGTTCCACTCATTTAGATTCATAGCCAAGTGACAGTGGTGAAATTCCCTACATTTTGCGAGGTTGCAAGGAGCAATATCCAGCACAGCCGAATCTAGCGCAGGGGAACAGGAGGGCGGGGGCATGTTTGAAGTCCATTTTTCTACAGAATGAAGCATGAAACCAACTGGGTGGCTTTTTCAAGGGGGCCAAGTAAACTGTGAGTGTCCCCTCCCCGGAAAGGGTACCCTGAAAAAAGAACCGACCCAAATGAAATGCCACAGGTCGGACGCCTTCCCAATTCCAGGTTCAGACCCTGTCCTGGCTCACCCTCGCGCAGTACTCCGCGACTTCGAACTGTGTCAGCCCGCCTGCACGTCGGGAACGGATCCGTGGAATTCAGAAGTTGGCCAACCTCCTCTTACAGAAGCGTGCGCGTTTTTTGAGGGTGCCGTTTAAACCTTGGTTGGAAAACCTGGCGGTCTTGGTTGGGATGATATGTTGGGTTGAATGCGCGCTTCATCCACATACCTCCTGTACAGCACAGAAAATCGCGGAGTTGTGGTCACCCATGCTTGAAGCTCCCTTCATCACGCCCCGTGGGGTTTTCGTTTCGGCCGACTTTCAAGGAGTTCCCCCCCCTCCAACCACTTACGCCAGAACCAAAGCCACGAGAAAACCCCAACTTGCTTTGCCAACAAGCAAGGTCCAATCTGGTTCTTTGTCTGATTTGCTCCCAATCCCACACGGATTCTGACAATGGATTTATGCAGAGCCAAGCGAAACAACTCACCAGGGATTGGGAGTCGATTCCCAGTTATCGATTTGGGTCTTCCCAATATATAGGAGACAAGAAACAGCGAGCTCCAGGTTTTCTCTTCGCTTCCAATTGACTACCCTAGCACCAAAACTCCCTATCTCCATGTCAAATAAAGTCAAACGGAGACAGGGGTGGTGCGAATTGTACATATTTATCTTGGGCAAACAGCCACCCCTGCCCGTGAGCAGATAAGCGCACAACAACCAACATGGTCTCCTCTTGGTGTCCGAGCCCCATTTGGTCCAATCACCAAACCGGACACCCCCATTGATTCGGCAAATCCAAAAGATGAATTCGGGGATCCCCAAGTAACAGATTATTATCATGGTGAGCTCGTTAGACCCGCAAATTGGTGAGCTCGCATTGAATTCGGCCACCCCCCCCGGATTCATCCAGCCCCGTATTAATTAGGCAGAAATCGATTCCCCGGCACGGCATCTACCACCAGCCCCCCTGACCCCTCCCCCCCGACTTCCTCCAGCGCGCTGCTGGCGCACCAGAGCCGCCGCCAGAGCCGAGCCCAGCGTACACCGCAGGTTGGAGCGCGCCACCGGGCCCCAGTGCACCGGCCTCGCGCCCGAGAGCCGGTGCTCCCTTCGGACGGACCCCACTCGTTGGCAAATACTTCCTGCCCCAGGAGACGTTGAACAGCAAAACCTAGTAGACAACCCTTTGCGATTTTCCTTTTGGTTTGTAAAGGGTGGCAAGCCCTTGGTTGCTACACAGACAAATGGATCCATTGGGATAAGGACCCACCAAATAGATGATGATCCATATTCTGCTCAGCCCAAAGCACGAAGCACGTATAGCCATTGAACAACGAACACAGTTCATTGATGGACCGGCACAAGAAGAACTGGAACCCCAGATTCGATTCGCTTTGGCCCGGAAGTGAGGCTCTTTGCAAGCAACTAATCAAAGGGCACCGGCCTCGTTTCGCTTGGTTTGGGATCATTGTGTTTTTCTTTTCGGGGCTTCGGATCAATCTGAGCAAATAACAACGGCTCTCCTAATAGAGGCCCACGTGGCGAAGAACGGTACGGTCTCCAGGGGCTTGAACCCAGCCGCCCGTGTGCGTCTTGACGAGGGAACCAACCCCATGTATACTGTGCTTCCCGGTTCAACCAGTTCAATCTTGAAAACAGAGTCACAGAGGTAACGGTTTTGTGGATCTGCAGTTCTCTCATGGATGACTTCCAGATCTGCCAAAGAATCCGAAGGATTCATTACTCGATGGCTTCCGTGTGCAAACAGGTGGCAACGTCAACAGTCTCACTCAGGTTTCCTTCAAACATGCATCGACCTTGGGGCAAAGCTTTGGTAGTAGCAAACAGCGCCCAACAGGCAAGAAAAGAAGGAGCGCGCCTGTGAGACGAATTAAGATCGCTTGTTTTGAGCCCATTGACGGTGCCTACCCAATTCTGCTGGCAAGTTGATGAGTTGCAAGCCCCAGGGACCCAAACCAATGCCCATCACCTCTGGCGAAAGCGGGGAAGCCTACGCCTCTTGTTCTTTGTGGTTGGGTCAAAATGCTGCCAAAGGACACCACCTTTTTGGTGCATACCCCGTCAAAATGGCGCCCATAAAAAAAACGTCGGGTAGTTGTCCAACAAAATCACCCAAGCTAAATCGCTTTGACACAATCGGGCGCGATTCCCCTGAGGCAAAATACAAAAAAAGGGACCCGATTGTTAGATGCACTTCCCGACCATTTGGAACCCATCAAACCCTGGAGCCAGGGCTAGCGCTTCGTGGCTTCTAAAACGAATTTGATGATGGCACCCGAACCCGGGATGTGTATTGTGCTGAAGCACAGAGAGGCCAAATGGGTAAACCGTGAAGCATTAAGCTGTAGACATTTGGTGACTGAAGAAAAGCATGGAACCTGCAAAAGAGGTTTCCCCAAAAGAGACGCTTTTCATGTTTCTTTCTAGCGATTGCTTTTTTTATGCTCAGAGGCTCCCGATTCAAACAACCAGGCTTTGAGACCCCGAACAACCTCCGGTGTGTCTAATGGAGGGGCCGGGTCTTTTCCATTGAAAGCCGAAGCCAGGAGCCAATGGGCCGGCCAATTTCCAGGGGAGTTCCATTTCCTTCGGGCCAACCCCCGACTTCGTTCAGCGACCGCTGATGCCCGACCAGGGCTCCGGCGTCCTGCAGACCCGGCACCGGCCTCGCGAGTGCTTCAATCGTTAGGACCTGGGCCGCCTGGGGGTGTCGTTTGTCTAGGGGACCTTAAAGAAACGATGGTGTTGCGGTCTAGGAAAGCAAAGTGTGGGTGTGTGTGGGTGTGTGTGTGTGTGTGCATCGCCAGCTGCACATGGCCAGGAAAACAAAGAACCTGCATCCCTAGGCGTCATAGATGGCACTAGCTTATGAATAGAACCTATCTGTCAGACTGCCTGATTAGTCGAAAACATGGCAAGCAGAGCCAGTAGCTCGTGCGACACGAAGTCATGCCAGGTGAGGCCAGACGCGAAGATCTCTCAGAAGGAAATCTCAGTTCCAGATCTCAGGGTTCTGGCACTGAGCGAATCTTGAAACACGCTCTCCAAGTTAGTTGGCGGGTGTCCTGAAATAGGGGACCTACTCACCCACTTTGGGATGGTGCAACCTATATATATATATAGAGCAAACCTTTGTCAATTCTGGGGGTTCCAGGATTTGAGCGGCCTCGTGTCACCTCCGAGCATCCCGAGGTGATCCTCAGGCAACGGGTGCATCCCCTTTGCCCTCTGCTCACAAAGGTGTTCCATACCTCCACTTTGGGACACGCCGGGCCCCAAAACTTGACAAAACGGATGGGGCCACTGGGCCAACGTCACGGAGTTATCAAAATGATGCAAAGCAATGAAGGAGATTGATAGGAGCATTTCCAATAGGGGAATCCTTCGTTCATGAATCTGGTGGCTTCAAATTGGCTCGTTGCGGAGGGGTGGGACTCAGTCGGAAAGCAATGGCCACGGTTGCTTGGTCTCTTGACGAACCAACAATGTGTCTCGGACTTCTTCGACAGTCGAACTCACCACAACCACCTCACAAAGCAGCCAAAAAGGAGGTCTCCACTCAGAGGACACAAAGTTGAAACGTCATCAGTAGCCAAGGATCCTCGGTGAAACAGCGCAGCCGTTTAGCACACTCCGAAACTCCAACCCCGATCCCCAACCCCAACTCGGAAGTAGTGGTGCTCCCCATGCTTACATCACTCTCCTTCTCCAACCAGGACCGCCTTGCGCGAGGTTTAATTACCTTGTCCCTTCCCAAACAGCAACAAGGGAGCAGTTCACTGTCCGATTCAGGTGCTGGACAAAGCCGATCATCCCAGAGGGTTCTGAGCACCCAAGGTCTCGCAATCTACCTGAAAAATCTCGACCGTCCTGAATCCAATCAAACGACGAGCCCAGGCGGTATCCCCAGCAGCCACCACATAAAACCTTGTCTGCAGCCACTCCGAACCACTCCGCAGCCTAGATAGGGCAAAAATCCCAAAGCTCCAGTTGTTGGGGAAAAAACAACACCTCCCCCAGAATGCCCAAGAAAACCTCGGCCTTTTTGGTGCCCTTGTGGCAATCTAGATGCCTGGTAAGTGAGAAGCAAAGGGAAACCAGTGCCATCCCGTCTCAAAAAAAACGAACCTTGCAAGGACACGTCTCAGCTCTGCCTGCCGAGCTCCTCCATTCCGCTCTGGGTGCCCTACATCTTCCAGAAGCAGTCCACGTGCAGCACGTGGTTGCAGGACAGCACCAGCACACTGCGAGCGAGCGAGCGGTTGCCAATTGACTTTTGCTGGTCTTAGACTCAAAAGGTGGCATATCAATCTGAGTGTTTATCTTTTCAGGGACACCCAAACTGGTGATTTTCCTTTTGGTCCCTGAAATCCACTCCAAAAGGGATACCCTCACAAGACATATGTGCAAGGAAACAATTCTCTGCCTGAGGGAACTTGATGGGACATGCCGTTCTGGAAGGGAGGATCCATGAATGGTCTCCGATGGCAACGGGGAAACTCATGAGTGAGGGGAGCTTCCCGACCTGTCCAACATGTATGAAAGCAACTTCTGCCAGTCTCCACAAGGGGACTTGCCAGAAATTCTGGCGGGTATGACCCTATCCATGCATCAGGACTTGTGTTTCCCTTTTTTGTTCTACGACCGGTTGCCTCCATTTGGACGCCTCAGCATGTGGCTTTTCCATTTTTCCGCTGTTGGTCCCATTGTGGGATAGTTCCCCTCAACACTTTGGACGTCGACCGGTCCGGGGCGGGGAGGTGTGAAGCCGTTAGAAGGAAAGGGACTAAAATGCTGTTCAACCACCCCTCCGCTTCACCCGGGACCTTGCCCTTACCACCTTTTGGGAAACTCACGAGCCTCTATTCAACGTGATTCTTCCAGCCCAAAAACCAGGAAAGGACACTTTGCCCGTGCCCCAACCCATGGGAAATACCCTGAAAAGAAGGGCCAAAAAAGAACCGTTGCAGGAAAAGGACCCAAAGGCAACCCTCACTTCACTCTCGCCTGTCATCCTCCTTCCAGCTCAGGAGGCAAATTGGGCAGGCACCCTGGCGTTTTCATGGGATCAGTGACCCCAATCGATCCCTTTAAGGTCTTCGCAAGCGCTAAGGGGCACCCCGAGAACCACTCGAAGTGATTTCTTATGCGGAACAAGACCTAAGGCACTAAGAAGATCCCTGGCAGCTTAGGGTTTGTGTTTGTTTCTGATCTGCTTCATGGTAAAACACATGGGGACAATGACAAAGGGATCGCACGTTCAGGTTGGCTGACTTGCTCTTAAGCGAATCAATCGAACCAGTGGGCAAGATACGGGGTGAAGTAACCACCTGGATGGTCAGCCCACTTAGCCAGTCGATCACTGATTTGGTACTAAGGGACTATCCCCTGTCTTCCAAAGTCACAACCTACCCTGTTTAGAACACCCAACATTCCTTACTCAAAGGACTAGGAGGTCAAAGTTAATCTCCCAAGACCATCACTAGGAGCACAGAAAGTAACACCAAAAGGTCGATCCGCTCGATTCGCGCTTGCAACATGCTGAGAAGTCAGGAAGAGCCCAAGACGTGTGCCTCTGCCTTCCCTTTCCAGGGCAACTGCTCTGAATCGCCGACCGAGCCAAAGTCACTGACAAAGCAACCCTCCGTTCTTGTCCCGTAAACAATTCATCTCAGGGAAACAATCTTACAAACCGCACGCCGGACAGATGATGCTAAAGCTAGCAAAACAACAACTCACCGTGCGGATACGCATGGAACCCACATTGCACTTGTAGGGAATATACTAGGAAAACAACAAATCCGGGGCGGATACGCATCGAACCCACATTTGTAAGGAATATCCTACGAAAAGGACCCTCTTTGGGGCAACCCACGCTCATCATGGCAGTCTACAGGTTTGTCCCCGCAATCTGGGATGGTTTCCCTTAGACAAACAAATTCAACGATAGCACCAAGCTACCACAAAAATGACATACCCACAGCTACCCAGTGACTCTGCTAGAAAATCAATTGGAACCGGAACCCTTTGCAGCGACAACGTGAGTGGCATGTTGATCCGCCAACCACTTCATCCTTTCAGTGGGATATGTCATAAACCTGTTGCCATCCGACCTACCACGATTTCAACCCCAAAACTTCAACACACAACCGGGGAGCAACAGGATTTGTTTGCGCCCTTTCCTTCGCGGACATTTCGCATGTGCATGTGGTGAATGGGACACCCGGCGTTTCAGTGGATCCACGTCATAAACCGCTGGGTCTCCCTTGGGTTCCGCCAACCCCGCCCCCAAAGCCGCCGAGAGACCGGGCCTCCGGGTCCGCCCTGCACACCGCTTTGGCGGTGGCCGAAGACAAGGCTTGCAGCTCCGCCGAAGGACCTCGGTGCGAGAACCGGTGGGTTGCAGTCGGTTTCCTTTCAGAGCCCAAGGCATACAGGGTTGCGCAGGTTTTAGTTTTGGTTCCATTTACCAAGGTGCCATTTGGGTTCATGTTTTCAGTCACAGCCACACCGTTGGAACCGCGAATGGACTGGGGAACTGGCTGGCTATTGACGAGGAGTTTGGTGGAATCCGTCACTGAGCGGCGTGAGTCGTCAGGAATCCAAGAATCCAGGCTCGAAAAGAACTAGGCAAGGAAATACCCTCGAGCACCCCCCAACAGCTGTTTCCCATCATGTCCAAAATCCCAAGTACTGTCCAAAAAGCAGTGGTTGGGAGGGTGCTGGCTTCATGCAACTCCCAGACCTTTAGCACGACCCACCCAAATCCTACGCAGCATGCCCAGCTTTTGTCTCACACGCTGCCAAGCCAAGCGCCAGAGTCGAATCGGGCGGCTGGCTCGCCCCATGTTTGAAACCCGGGATGGCCTTGCAAGCATGGATGCACTGCCTCATCTGGATGCACTATACATGTTTAAGAGCCCAAAATAAGACTTCCCCTACATATCTATGTATATATATATATACACGTAGTAGAAGGAACCTTCTTATGCATTTTCGGATGTGTTCGGTCACAAACCAACTCCGTTCATGAGGTTGCTATAATAACTTGCGCAGCCACATATCACTCTAAGGCTCCCAGAACCATACCCCTTATGGGCGGAACCCCGGACAAAGGCGGCATCACTTTAGGTTTCCCTTGTTGATTCAACCCTCCAAACGGGGCCCAGATTCTGGACACGCGATATGCTCCTGGCCATCCCTTTGCTACCCGGAAGCTTCCAAGTGAGCTGCCCAGCAGCACGTTCTTTGCACTTTCTTCCAAGATCAACGGGACCCCGGGATCCTCCAGTGCCCTGTTTATGGGCGCCCAACGGGGCCCCCCAATTCCACGTGGATCTTCAAAGGAGCCGAGCACTTGGGTCCATCGGTGCGGGTGCTGCTTGCAGTTTCTATTTGGTGTTGCTGTTCGTTCACCCGAATTAAACTCCACAAGCACATATAAAACACCACTACTTCGAACGCCGCACTGTGAACCCCCGTCGTCTCCTCAAACCCGCAGTAGACCACAAAGAATATGGTGTCAAACTTCCCATGTCGAAACAAATATCATCGAATGCTGCTTCGATTTTTAGTCCACCTTGAAACATCACATACTCTCTGAGACCCCAACCAATCCATGGGTCTTATGCCGAGAGAACTCAGACACGCGCGCAAGCAAGACACCCATGCCACACGGGACGGCCGGGGACGGGCTCAGCTGTAGTTGAAGATCTTCCGCGCCTCTCTACGCCGCTCCATGCTGCGGCTCCGGGAAGTCTTCTCCTCAGCGTGCTGAAGGCGCGTGGGTTCGAAACCACCGCCAAGTCCCCCGTGTCCTTGCTGAGATGACCCTGCAACCCAGGAAAAGTGCAGAATCCTGGAGTTGCATCCCCAAACTATCCAGAACAACGTAAATCAAACCACTGTTGCCTGGCTCTATTCCTTCCCTGGCTTGGTGAGACAAGTCGCTCATGTCTGCCTCGACATAGGGCTAGTCCTCGGCCCCTAGAAAAACACGATCTTGTTGCTGGATGGAAGGCTAAAAGTCACCCAAAGAGCAACCGCACTTGTCGGAGGCTGTTACCAAAAGAACACAGCCCATTTTGGGAGTACCTGAGTTTTGGAACTATGGCTATGTTGGGGTAAAAACTGGTGCGCACCCTTTCTCGATGCGTCTTGAGCCAACGTCTCAGTCGGTCACAAATGTTCATGACATGTCGAGTCTCCCCCTGTGGCCTTTTGCCACACTCAGACCTGTTCCCACCCCGAAAACTCTGAGGTCTCCTCTTGAGGTGGGTCAGGTTCCTCCTCCACCGAGTTCTGCGCCCAGATGAGACGGGAGCTTCACGCTGCCTCCTGCCTCGTCCTATATAGAAGCAAGGGGCAGCCCATTGGGCAGTGGTCAAATGGCTGACAGGAGGGGTCCCAAATGTTGACCTCCGGGGCTGGTTCATCTTCCCTAGCTCTTCTTGTCGTCGCCGGTTCATTTTCCCAGGCGATCTTATTCCTGACAGAGGCACGTCTCCAAACAGAGGGGTCCTCTGGTGTGGTCGGTTCATTTTCCCTGACCATCTTCGCAACCCTAACCTGGTTGTCCTTATGTGCGGCTGGTTCATTTTCCCTAGCCGAACTTTGGGTTGGGCGATTCAACGCTGACAAATCCTACACCCACTCCAAGGGATGCCAGACAGACATCCCGGATCAGACACGATCCCTGAGGCTTCCAGCAGGCGATAATGCCCATCAGCCCACTCATCGCTGCTTGCCGCTATGTGGTTCTCCCGGTCCTTGCAACGAAACCACCTTCGAACCTTCCTTGATCATGCCCGCCATGGAGTAGAACCGAAGCCATTGGGTCCTTGCCGCCACCGCCTTCGTGAGGTAGTCAGCCACCAACCCGCTACCCGGCAAACGCCTGATCTGCAATTCCCCTTCTCGCGTTCGTTCCCGCAGTACGTTGGATCAAAGGAGCAAATGCCTTGTGCGCCACGGCCCCGAAACTTCGCCAATGCCGCCGTGTTGTCCCCGCGATTACCCGCTCAGCCTTCTTGGCGCTCCAGCATCCTCCCTCGGTGATGTCCAGGATGGCACAGAGGGAGTCTCCCATGATCGTCGCCTTGATGTAGCCCCACCAACTCTGCCTCTGCCGTGCTGAGGGTACAAAATGGCTGGCGACCAGATTCCCATTGGACGAGGGCACCACCGTAGAATTTTTCGAGGACTCCTTGGGGGCCTTGCGGCGCATCGATCTCGCGAAGGGAAGATCCCCTTCTGCTCCCCAGCGCCCATAGACCAGTCCCAAATCCTTCGTGTCGTGCAAGTAGGCCATCATGTCCTTCCCAGCCTTCACTACTTCCAAAGGGCGCCGGGTGACATGTTGCGACATCCAGGAAACCCCGAACGCCACCTGCTGCATACCCACACCCACAACAATTCTCCAACCAGTCCCTGCGCCTCCCGGATGCCATCTTGCGTGACCAGGAACCTCCGGCTTGGCCATCGTCACCTCGTGACGCTCCATCTGCTAGATGCCCTTCCAGAAGCCCTTCTTCTCCGTCTCCCCCCAGCTTAGGGCTTGGATCCAGGCTTTGCTTGCCCGTCAGCCGCGTTTTCGGCTTTGCCTTTTTCCACCTACAGGTCCCTTGCGTGGTCGGCCTCCACATCGGTCAGAACGGCCGCCCTGGTGTGTTGGATGGCCCCGTCTTCTGTCTGAAACACCCAGCCCCAACTCATCATCGGACTAGGACCCAGTAGGCGCACTTCTCCCTTCTTGTGCCACCGCTTTGTTTTTGCCATGACCTTGGAGTAGAACGGGAGCATTGGGAAGGTGTCCACCCCAAGCCTTTGGAGTTGCATCTGGTTCCTTTGGAGCACCACATGTCGCAGCGTTGTAGGCCCTTCACTTGGTTGACCTCTGCCTCTACTCGTCCATTGGCCGCGTGGTCATCGCCCGCCGTCATGGTGAGCAATAGGTTGCGCTCTAAGCACCACTGCTGCACCGGCTTCGCCCGATCGCAATGCATGCGGTACAGTGGGATGCCCAGGCTGCGATACTTCACAAAGATCAGGCTGATGGCCCTGATGACCTCCCTGGCGCTCCTTGATTCCATAACCCCCGCCATCGCGTTCTGTACCCATCGGCCATCTCGTCCTTGACCTTGTCGTTGAGCCTCCTCACCTCTTATAACACACAGGGTTGATCGTCCTCCTCTTCCCATTCTGCTGGATTTGGGTCCTCCTCCTCGGGCTCTGCTGCTTCTGAAGGCTCCTTGTCCCCAACTCCAAGCAGGATTGGGACCGTTCCAATCAGCCCGTACTTCACCTTTCTGCCCGTTCCGACATCCTCCCCCGTTGAAAATGGCCCAGCAATGTGCACGTTGAGGACATAGGACGGAATTTCCGCCTTCAATCTGCGATGAGGCCGGTCCACTCCAGCCTCCTGCGTGCAAATACGGCACCGTCTATTGAACGGAGTGTGCCCCCGCCCAAGGTCATCTTCTTGAGCTCCCCTGCCTCCATGCTCTTCTCCTCCTTCCGCTCTGCAAGCCTTGAGGAAAATCTTGAACCAGCCTCTTTTGCAGAGGTCCTCCTCCATCTCGGCCCTTCGTTCATGCTTGGTCACCAGGCCCATCATGTTGTCAAGGCAAAAGTCCTGGACCTCCTGGAAGTTCCAAAAAGAAGGCACTCGGAGCACTTATGCGCCAGAAGCCACACAATCCTTCCTGCCGTGTCCTTCCTGTCTTCCTCCAAAAAGGCCAGGAAGGCCAAACCTGTGGACGCCCCTCCTCTTAGAGGTGCCAACCACAGCTCTGACCAGTCCCTTCTCCACCAAGCTCCGCAGGTATCCCCACGGCGGAAGGCCGTGGCCCACCTTTGCCACCTGGAGAAACGGGAGTGGAGAGACCGGGCCAATATCCTGGAGAAGGACAAGCTCGGGGCAGACATCAAGGAGAGCAGCAATGGACATGAGTTTGTGGAGGGCACGATCAGGCTTTTCGTGGGCTTCCTGGAGGGCACGATCAGGCTTTTCATGGAGGTAAGGGAGTTGGAGGTGGCTGGAGCTGGAGGTGCAAAGGGCGGCAGGTGCTTCATCGCAGGAGCGTCGGGAGCCTTGCTCTGGAGAAGATAAGGAGGTGGAAGATTTACGGAAAAGGGTTCTTTGGGAAGCAGAGGAAACCTTCAAACGGGAGGTTTTGAGGCTGCAAGCGGCAGATTGTCAGAGGCCTAGAGGAATTTGGAGCTTCCTAGTCTACCGCCGCCTGGAGGTGAAGGGTCATCGCTGCAGTTTGGGGACGCTGATGTCAGACATTGCGGGATCGGCCAGGCTGTGGTGGGAGCAGGTCCTGCAGAAAACGGAGCTTACTTATGCGGAGTGGCTGCAATCTCTCTTTGAATGGCCCATCCCGGAACATCCGAAGCACCTGTTTGTTTTCTCCAGGCCATCCCACGAATGCGCATAGGTGCAGCTGCTCCCCTTCTTGCATCCTCCATCCGACAAGCAGGGTCTTGGGGCTTCTGCCTATTGTCCGTCGCCTCCGGCATCACGTCCGTAGCTCCCGCTGCCGCCAACGCCTTCAGGCCAGAGGTAGCAGTGCCCGTTCCCGTCGTTCGCGAAGTCGACGCCGCTTTAATCGATGTCGTCAGCAAGAGCTCTTCCGCTTCCGCCTGCCGACCACCTCCGCGATCTTGCCCAAGACCGTGATCGACACCAGCCCGTCCGGCAGCGCCACATCCAGCTCCTCAGCTCTCGCCGACCATCTCCTCCACAGCCTCACATACGCAGTGCCCCCACCTTCGTGAGGTGCCTCAACAGGTTCTCCAAGGTACCTTGGTCAAGACGAAACATGATCTCCGTCGCGGACATCACCCGGGCAGAGATGATCTGCCTCCTGATGGGGTTCGGCAAGGCCGCCAGAAGCATCGACAACCCCCGTCGCTCAACCCGGTAATTGTGTGCTTCAACATCCCCCAGCGTCGGCTTCAACCGGAGCTTCTCCAGCGGCGTCGCCGTCCGCGGGCCCGCGGGCCCGCTGGACTGCGAGAGCCTGGACTGCACCTTCACTGCCACGAGCGGCGGAGTGTCGACGGGCAGCGTGGTCTGCGGCGACGTGACGAGCTCGGGCACGGTCTCCGCCCCGCAACTCTTTGCGTCCAACACGCTCACCGTGACCAACACCTCCGACTTCTTGGACGACTTGACGCCTTGGAAGCAACCGGCTCCGAAGGTGTCCAAGGTCAAGAAGCCAGGAGATGAGAAGATGCCGGCGGAAGGTCAGGCAGCGGGCGGCGAAGGGGCCTGTCTTAGTGGCTCACCGGGCTCCGCGGAGGAGGCCGACAGGGCGAAACCCCAGTGCTGCTTCATCGGCTTCGAGGGCAACCGGAGACGCCCCCTGGAGGGTCGGAAGAGACAGAAGTGGCGGGCCTGTTGAAGTCCTTGATGTCTATCAGGGCTCTGCAGATCAAATATGCCGCAGCCGAGAAGGAAGCGGGGGAGATCGGGGAGATGGAACCGGTGGCGTTGCTGGATGGCGGAGCCACTCACGCGTTGCGACAAGCTCGACCGCATGAGAGCGACAGCCTTACCGCGGTGGAGGTGGGCTGGCTTGTGGAAGTACGGTGTTGCACAAGCATGCCGGGACGTCTGCCATTTTGACGCTGGAGCCGGTGGAGCCCATCATACCGCTGAGTGAGGTGGAATGCCAAGGGGTGCCTGATTGAACACCCCGGCCACGGAAAACTTCATTGCTGGGCGGTATGGCCGGTCATGCGAAGGTCAGCGGCAATGAAGCTGATGGACTTCCGGCTGATGGGCTTCTTGGATGCCCCGGAGAGGTCAGCTGCGATGGACGGAGAAGCAGAAGTTGCAGCACGAAGCCCCTTCAATCGGAGATTGAGGAGGAAATGGGAGGGGAGCAAGGGCGCAAGGAGGATTGGGGCGGCTATGAGATCGTCACGATCGACATCGAGGAGGATGCCAGGCAGAATCTTCTGCGATCCCGCACCATGTTCATCTCCGTGATGTAGTCCCGGAGGTAGCGTCCACGCCTCGGTGTCCCGAACAGCCGGTTCCCCACCAGCCGTCATCCTCCGAAGATCGCGCCTCTCCCCCAGGTTCTCCGACCTTGCCCTCCTGGAAGACCCGTGCTCGCGGATCATCCTGTCCAGCGCCTGGTCGGCGGTTTCTCCTTCTCGAACAAGATCTTGTTGTTGTCTTCGCCTGCGCATCATGGCTGGCTTGGGCTCATAACCTATGGTTATGTTGGGGTAAAAACTGGTGCGCACCCTTTCTCGATGCGTCTTGAGCCAACGTTTAAAATGTCGAGTGCAGCCTTCACAGGAACAAACGCTTATCTTAAACTTCAGTTTGGGGTTTGCCACCTAAACAGGCTGCAATAAAGTATGGGAAGCTTCTTGGCGGATCTATCCATATACACCCGGTTTCCCAGTGTCCCACCTAAAGTTGGCCCTGGACAAAGAGGAGGTTCCTGTTTCTCAAACAAATGCATTTGCCTTTATTCACTTGGGGTCAGCTTGGGCCAGAGTCAGGGCGACAAAGCCGAGGCTCAAAGACTTAAACCCATGAGCCACTGGGTACCCTCCTGTCCGTCCCCAGCCGAGGCTCCCGGAAGTGGCTGGGCCGCGGCGGGGACAGCTGCTTTCGTCCCCTCAGCCGCTCCAGCGCCGCCTGCCTCGTGAACCAAAAGGAACCTCAAAGTGCCTCACAGGTTCGGGTGTCCTGAACCACCACAATGTGGGTATGGGCCAAAATTATACCACCAGGGGACCGCAGGTTTTAGTCCTTGTTTCCTTTTCCAGGGTTCCGTTTTGGGTACCTATTTTTGACCCACACCCAAGTAAATGTGGGAAATTGCTCAGCGCAATCACGCCATTCCATTTCCGCAGTAAGGGCAGTCCGAACCGGGGGCTTCTAACTTCTAGTTATCCCTACACCAGACCGGACTGGGATTCCAAACATCCGGCCTCGCTTAGATGAGACTCACCGCTCCAACCCATCTCATGCTTTCCAGCCACCCGCTTCAACATGTTGGAACCAGTTTTGTTCAGCATCATTAGCTTTGGGCTTCCGCTGAAAAAGCAGGTCGTGGTAATGTGTGTAAACTTGCTTTGCCTGTGCCCAAAGGGTATTGCCTCTGCCAAAAGGGTAAAGCCTCGAAGTGGGGTAAAGCTGACGTTTAGCCAAAAGGAAAAGAGCTTTCTTCGATCAAAAGGACACCCCAAATGATTGTCTGAAAGCTCCCATCCAACCATGGCTGCTTACTCATGTGCATTCCTCTGGCCATGCACAGAGCGTGAAACCTAGGCGGGAACACGGGACACGGTGCCAAAAACACACATGTGAATACATATATTTAAAGATGCATATCACATATATGTTTATACGAATGAGAACAAAGTAAGAAGCGAGTCGGGAACCAGTTGGAAGCCCCGCAAGTCCCAGAGTTTTGTGGTTGGATGCAATATTTCGGGAATCTGCCGTGCACAGTGCTGCTCGCTGGATATAGAGGCAATGCCGACTCGTACAACAACGCACAGGCCACGCTAACAGGTGTAAGCATGGAAGGACGTCAGTCCGGCCCTTCCCCTAAGAGCCAAATCAGGAATGGAATGACCCCAAAAAAAAGGATCCCTTGTAGTTTCCGTTATTCGGGGATCCCTGGGTTCATTCCCGCATTCCCTACTTATCGCACCAGCAAGAGCAGCCAATTCGGTTTGAGATCAGACCTCAAACGTCACGCTTTGCAGCCGCGGCTCTGGCGGTCAGCTTTCGTCTCCTTCTCTTCCTTTTTGCCCTTCTTCTCCTCTGTGCGCCTGCCAAAGAACACAAGCATATGTTGGGGACTGAAAACCATATTAGATATTCTGCATGGCCGTGTTGATTGCTCTTGTTCCCCTGGGTGTTCAAACCAATTTTGTAAATAGGCTACAACCATGGCAAGAAGACTTTCATCCTAGTTGCCAACTTCTTACCATTTGGCATCATCTACTTGGGCATGTCATCTTTGAGGGTGCCTGTTTGTGGTTGGTTCTCAAGGGCAAAGGTCCTAGAGAAAAAAACGCATGAACACCCAAGGGCTAACCATTGACCTCTCCGAAACCTTCCAGAAATTCGGCCTTTGAGCTGCACATCCTCGGCGCGTCCCAGTGGCGCCCACTTTTTCAATGGGTGCGGAATCCCTTACGAGCAGTAAGCAGCGTATAAAAAGTGTATCTATAGTTATATACATATAAATATGCATACATAAAGGAGCAACTACCAACAATAAACGTGTGACCTAAAATATCGTGTATGTATGACGTAGTCTGAATGGTATATGCATAATGTAAACATTGCATATTTGACCATGAATGGATCAAATGGGTGTACAAATGTTTAGTACACGCGACTTAACATGCAAACTGTATACAACGGAATATCATTAAGCACTATATTGCGCTTGTCAATACTTACAAGCAACGTAGGAACACCGCAGGTGTTTGCTTAATAAAATTAAGTTAATTTACTCCTACTATCCATTACATAGTTCAACGTAAATACAGGTGTTTCAAACATACACACCATATTATTCTAAGATTGAATGTCTTGCTCAATGATAAAGGTGTATACAAACATAGATATCCGCCGACCCCCCTGCCTGCAAGGGGAAGGCGCTGGGGGAGTGTTTGTTTAGCGTTGGAGCGTGACTGTGGCAGCCTTCTCCCTTCCCTTTCGCCCCCGCCCGTTCAGCCCTGTACCTTACCAGCCTTCTTTCTTTCCCTTTTTTCTTGTTCTTCTTCGTTTCTTTTCTTTCCTTTTCCTTTCTGCTGCCGGCGCACTCCTTTGGTTGGTGCTCGCTGTGGACAAACGAGTGCGGCCTGGAAAAGCGCGGGAAGCGAAGCTTTTGTGGCTGGCCGCTCCCTCTGGACCGATAGCCTTACTGCATATTGGACTCAAACGCGACGTTAGGCACCCGGCCGCGGCGGAGCAGGCTGCCGGCGCACTCCTTTGGTTCGTGCTCGCTGCGGCGAAGCGAGTGCGGCCTCCAAGCGCGCTGGACGCGAAGCTGTTCTTGCTGGTTGCGCCCTGGGGACCGATAGCTTTCTACTTTCTATATAGGATTCAAAAGTGACGTTCGGCACCCGGCCGCGGCGGAGCAGCCGCCCTTGGCAAGACGCACAGCAAACCCAAAGGGAGAAAGACCAGGAATAGGCAAACTGTGACAGACGCAGGCGCACATGGGCATGGACAGGCCGGGGATTGAACCCAGCCCCTCTCGCATGCTGAGCGGGGGTGATGCCACTACACCAACTGCCCCTGAGCTGAGGGGGCCGAGAGTGCTCAACTACCTGCTGGGCACAGCTTTCAGCGCTGAAGCTCTGTCACGGCCAGCCCGTTCGGCCTGTCTTCTTCCTATCTGCTGCCGGCGCACTCCTTTGGTTGGTGCTCGCTGTGGGCAAACGAGTGCGGCCTGCAAAAGCGCTCAAGCACCTGCAGGGCACAGCTTTCAGTGCTGAAGCTCTGGCACGGCCCGCCCGTCCGGCCTTTTTTCTTCCTTTCTGCTGCCGGCGCACTTTTTTGGTTGGTGCTCGCTGTGGGCAAACGAGTGCGGGCCCGCCCGTTCGGCCTCTTTTCTTCCTTTCTGCTGCCGGCGCACTCCTTTGGTTTCTTTCCTGTTCCTTTCTGCCGGCGCACTCCTTTGGTTGGTGCTCGCTGTGGACAAACGAGCGCGGCCTGGAAAAGCGCGGGAAGCGAAGCTTTTGTGGCTGGCCGCTCCCTCTGGACCGATAGCCTTACTGCATATTGGACTCAAACGCGACGTTAGGCACCCGGCCGCGGCGGAGCAGGCTGCCGGCGCACTCCTTTGGTTCGTGCTCGCTGCGGCGAAGCGAGTGCGGCCTCCAAGCGCGCTGGACGCGAAGCTGTTCTTGCTGGTTGCGCCCTGGGGACCGATAGCTTTCTACTTTCTATATAGGATTCAAAAGTGACGTTCGGCACCCGGCCGCGGCGGAGCAGCCGCCTTGGCAAGACGCAGCAAACCCAAAGGGAGAAAGACCAGGGATAGGCAAACTGTGACAGACGCAGGCGCACATGGGCATGGACAGGCCGGGGATTGAACCCGGCCCCTCTCGCATGCTGAGCGGGTGTGATGCCACTACACCAACTGCCCCTGAGCTGAGGAGGCCGAGAGTGCTCAACTACCTGCTGGGCACAGCTTTCAGCGCTGAAGCTCTGTCACGGCCAGCCCGTTCGGCCTGTCTTCTTCCTATCTGCTGCCGGCGCACTCCTTTGGTTGGTGCTCGCTGTGGGCAAACGAGTGCGGCCTGCAAAAGCGCTCAAGCACCTGCAGGGCACAGCTTTCAGCGCTGAAGCTCTGTCACGGCCCGCCCGTCCGGCCTTTTTTCTTCCTTTCTGCTGCCGGCGCACTCCTTTGGTTGGCGCTCGCTGTGGGCAAACGAGTGCGGGCCCGCCCGTTCGGCCTCTTTTCTTCCTTTCTGCTGCCGGCGCACTCCTTTGGTTTCTTGCTTTCCCTTTCTGCTGCCGGCGCGCTCCTTTGGTTGGTGCTCGCTGTGGACAAACGAGTGCGGCCTGGAAAAGCGCGGGAAGTGAAGCTTTTGTGGCTGGCCGCTCCCTCTGGACCGATAGCCTTACTGCATATTGGACTCAAACGCGACGTTAGGCACCCGGCCGGGGCGGAGCAGGCTGCCGGCGCACTCCTTTGGTTCGTGCTCGCTGCGGCGAAGCGAGTGCGGCCTCCAAGCGCGCTGGACGCGAAGCTGTTCTTGCTGGTTGCGCCCTGGGGACCGATAGCTTTCTACTTTCTATATAGGATTCAAAAGTGACGTTCGGCACCCGGCCGCGGCGGAGCAGCCGCCCTTGGCAAGACGCACAGCAAACCCAAAGGGAGAAAGACCAGGGATAGGCAAACTGTGACAGACGCAGGCGCACATGGGCATGGACAGGCCAGGGATTGAACCCGGCTCCTCTGGAATGCTGAGCGGGGGTGATGCCACTACACCAACTGCCCCTGAGCTGAGGAGGCCGAGAGTGCTCAACTACCTGCCGGGCACAGCTTTCGGCCTGTTTTCTTCCTATCTGCTGCCGGCGCACTCCTTTGGTTGGTGCTCGCTGTGGGCAAACGAGTGCGGCCTGGAAAAGCGCTGAAGCACCTGCAGGGCACAGTTTTCAGCGCTGAAGCTCTGTCACGGCCCGCCCGTCCGGCCTTTTTTCTTCCTTTCGGCTGCCGGCGCACTCCTTTGGTTGGTGCTCGCTGTGCGCAAACAAGCGCGGGCCCGCCCGTTCGGCCTCTTTTCTTCCTTTCTGCTGCCGGCGCACTCCTTTGGTTGGTGCTCGCTGTGGACAAACGAGTGCGGCCTGGAAAAGCGCGGGAAGCGAAGCTTTTGTGGCTGGCCGCTCCCTCTGGACCGATAGCCTTACTGCATATTGGACTCAAACGCGACGTTAGGCACCCGGCCGCGGCGGAGCAGGCTGCCGGCGCACTCCTTTGGTTCGTGCTCGCTGCGGTGAAGCGAGTGCGGCCTCCAAGCGCGCTGGACGCGAAGCTGTTCTTGCTGGTTGCGCCCTGGGGACCGATAGCTTTCTATTCTACTCCTCTACTTTCTAGAAAGGATTCAAAAGTGACGTTCGGCACCCGGCCGCGGCGGAGCAGCCGCCGTTGGCAAGACGCGCAGCAAACCCAAAGGGAGAAAGACCAGGGATAGGCAAACGGCGACAGACGCAGGCGCACATGGGCATGGACAGGCCGGGGATTGAACCCGGCCCCTCTCGCATGCCGAGCGGGTGTGATGCCACTACACCAACTGCCCCTGAGCTGAGGAGGCCGAGAGTGCTCAACTACCTGCTGGGCACAGCTTTCCGCGCTGAAGCTCTGTCACGGCCCGCCCGTCCGGCCTTTTTTCTTCCTTTCTGCTGCCGGCGCACTCCTTTGGTTGGTGCTCGCTGTGCCCGCCCGTTCGGCATCTTTTCTTCCTTTCTGCTGCCGGTGCACTCCTTTGGTTGGTGCTCGCTGTGCCCGCCCGTTCGGCATCTTTTCTTCCTTTCTGCTGCCGGTGCACTCCTTTGGTTGGTGCTCGCTGTGGACAAACGAGTGCGGCCTGGAACAGCGCGGGAAGCGAAGCTTTTGTAGCTGGCCACTCTCTCTGGACACATAGCTTTACTGCATGTACGATCCCTACCCATCTTTCTTTCCGTTTCCTTTCTGCTGCCGGCGCACTCCTTTGCCTGGTGCTCGCTGTGGCAAAACGAGCGCGGCCTCTTAGCGCGCTGTACGCGAAGCTGTTCTTGCGAGCAGGCATGCAGGACCGACGCGCAAGATTTTTGCGCTGCGCTGCCAGATTTCCGCACACGTCACTTCGTGCGCCAGTCCTTGGTCTGGCAAAAGCGTTTGCTGTTTGGCTCTTCGCGCTGGACGCGGATCCGGCCTTGCCTCGTGCTCGACTGCACTGTCGCTCCGCAGGTCGGACACGCATGCTCGTACCTTGCGCCATCTTCTCGGCGCACAACCTGTCCCTCGCGAACTTGGAAGCGGCGCCCGCAATGCCGTCGCGAGTTAACCGTGCCGCTCCAGACGCCTGACTCCACGTCGGCGCTGCAGTGCGGGCAAGTGTACGTTCGCTGCGAGCGCTCTGCCTTCTTTTCGGCCTCCTTTCCTCGGTCGCGTGGCTCCGACGCCTGCACCGCTGCGCTGCGCCTTTCCCGCGCGCGAATAATGTCTGCGATGCATGCGCGGATCTCGGCCAGCGCCCGGCACTTCTGGGCTGCGCGTCTGCGCGCTAATCGCGCGGCGCTCTTCTTGGCGATCGCTTTTGTGTCACGTGCTCGGAGGCAGGCATTGCACTGTTGCTTCCCGTTCCGCGCCCTCTTGTACCGCGAGAACGCAGCAACTGCGCATCTCTCCTTGCACTGCGTTTGCCACGCCGCCTTGCTGAAATCGCTCTCTTTTTCGACTCTCCGCAACGCGCGCACGCATGGGTTTCGATGCAATTGCAGCAGACTCGTTGCAGCTCGCTTCGTGTTCTATCCCACTTCTCGAGGAACCCTGCCCGAGGCTGCCAGTAGTAGCAAACGCAGCATTGCCACGGGTGGCCTGCGCTTTCGTGCCGCCCGGTGCATTCTTTACACACTCCGCTGGCGTCCTCTTGTTTCCATCGCCCCGCAGTGTACGCGCAACGACCCTTCCGCTGCAGGCATTCGACGCACTCTTTCTCGATGAGGTACTTTTTTCGAATGGCTTCCCAATCGATGACCTCCCCCCTCCAAACTCGGAAAAGCAGGTTACGGCCGAAATCGTCTCCGCGTTGAAACGGCTCCAAGTCGAACGGGCGAAATATCCCCAGCTTCTGTCTCCCTTCAACCCGCGTCATGGCCACGTACGATGTCAACGGGGTGTCTCCCTTCTTCATGGCTATGTCCACGACTGCGCCGTTGACTGCTGTTATCCCTTGCGCCCCGTGCGCTGTCAACGCAAACGCCGGGCTCAGGGGCAGCTGTCGGCGAGACACGCGAAGCTGTGGTTTCTTGCGTTTCCCATCGAGGAACCACGCACTTCGAACTGGCGCAACGGGCAGGACGCAGTCTTCTTGTATGCCATCGACGCGCCATGTCTTGCTCGTGCGGAACTTCACGTACACGGCCGCTGGCATTTCCGCCCAATAACGCACATGCCCGTCCGCACGCGTCACCTCGCTTTTGTCGCCCGCGCGCGTCCAGCCACACAGAGTCCCCGCGCAGCCGCGAAGCACGCGTCGTTCGCGGTCCGCGTGGTCAGTCGCTGATACCGGCATGCCAATGCATAGCGGCAGCGTCCCGTACAAGTTGCCGCTTTCGGGGTCATGACGCTGCAGCCACTTCACTTTGTCTTCCTCCAAGTGTGGCTTCTCGCAGCGTCTTCAGCAATTGAATAATATATCAGCTGCGGAGCTTTGGCCGCAAACTCTCGCGCGCGCGTCCGGTTAACATGATACTTGACAGCGTTCGTCGCAAAAATGCACGTGGCATCTTTCAGTTCGTTCTGTAATCGCGGATCCTGCGGCGTGGCTGCTACGAGCGCTTTGGAGCGCCTCTCTGATTTGCACACCTTGCACTCCTCTTCCAGGATGCGCTCCGGCGCCACCTGGTCTGTTGCTAGAGCTTCACACGTCCGACTTCCACAGCTCGCGTGGCCATTGTGCCAACTGCCTGGCACTGCCGTCGCTTTGCCATGCAAGAACGCATGTGTCACCGCAGTGAGGCGACCGTGACGAAACTGATCCTGGACTTCCTTTAGCCACGCATCTTGCGTGCGCTCGCAGCGCACCAATTCCATCTTGCGTGCGCTCGCAGCGCACCAATTCTGTAACTCCCTGAACGCCTTCCGTCGGTCCCCCCCACACAAGCCTCTGCCCGTACGCGGCGTGCGGCAGCTTTGTTTTCTGCCCACGTCTGCGCAGCATCTCCGCTGGAATGGCTCCCAGGAATGTACCACGCGGAGGCTCTAGCTGCCACATATCCCCCGCTAAAATTACGTTCAGGCCACCGAACGGTCGCGCAGCATTGCTATTGGGGCCGTACTTTTCTTTGCAGGCATCCCGCACCAGCTCTCGACAACGAAGCTCTAAGCGCGCGAGGAGCTCTGCGCTCACCATGCTGATTTCGTCGACCAGCAGCCAGCGCCGCCGCGTCGCCCCCGCCAGCAGTTCTGCCATACGCTGCAAGCTTACGCCCGTCTCCTCGCCGTGCTTATTCGAGCCAACTGCGTGGTGAATCGTTTCCCCCGCTAGTTGGTCGGCCATCACGGCCTGGAAAGCTACCACTTGATACTGCACCCCTTGCTGCCACCCCAGGACCTGGTCGAACAACTCTTCTCGAACTACTCGTAGTGTGTGCGACTTGCCGGTGCCTGGGCCTCCATGCAGTGCCCAGCGCAGCGGATCTGTTTTGTCCACTTGGCGCAACTGTTCTCCTTCTCCGCAATTTTCTTCCGCTACGACGCGCTCCGCCACCTTCTGCGCGAAGCTGAGCTGCTCTGGGTTCAGGAACGCCCTGCCGTCCACGCCACGTCGTGTCGCTACATTTTGCAGCCACGCTTTGACTGCCTCGGCTTTATTGGCTCCTTCATGCTGCAGCACTCCTGGAGGACTTGCGCTTTCTTCTTCCGTGTAGGCAAAGCAGCGCTTCGGCTTCTTTCGCCGCGCGGCTTGCAGTAGAGCTTTCGCGCTGCAGCGCTCGTATGGGTTGGCGTCCTGCTCTGCTGCGGGCAGTGCACTTGCCCATATCGCGTTAGCTTGGCTCAACGCTGCTTGCGTCAGATCCTCCTGCGCTTCTCCCTGCTTCTTCGCATGCGGCGGGTCCTCTGGCGCCGGGGGCTCTAGCGCTTTCCGAAGTGACGCTTCATTCAGTTTCAGAACAGTGTCTGCGTTCTCATCATTGCTGTTCGCCGCTGCTTCGTCGCTAGGCCGCACTCGATGCACGGCCAAGAAGTTGCCCACGTGCTGTCGCGTTTCCGAGCAACTCAAGCGTAGCAGCCAGGCACGAAGGGACTCGTCCCAAGAGCTGTTCTCAATTCGAAGCGCGCTTGCGTGCACCACTTCGGGCGAGCCCCACTTTTTATGCAAAGTCCACGGGCGAAAGTAGGCTTGGCATAGCCTTGCGTTGTACTCGGCGTTTTCCGCGCCATGTCGCGGCCGCGGCGCAACGTCGAAGCGCGGACATAGCGGACGCTCCCGTCGGTGATAGTACCAGGCATGTCGAAGGGCGCTCGTTGCTGCGGTGTCTGGCAAATACACGCAGTTTTTCCGCGAGACAAATTGACAGGCGTACTCTGCCCCTGGCTTCAAGTGCACCACCTTCCCTCTGCTGTTTCTCAACTTCGTTTCTCCGGCATCGGTCAGCTTGACGTCCCATGTCTGCTCTGGCAGCGACTCCCACTCGTCCCACGTGTGGGGCACGCGGGTCGCCACCATCTCCCACTGCATGACGAACTCATATGGAGACAGGACAGCTCCGACTGCACGCAACGCAGCCCGTATGCTTGCGCAATGTCTAGGTCCCTCAAGTGCGACTGTCGCTTCCCAGTGGAGGGGTCGGCGGCACTGGGCGGCAGCCCTTAAATTATTACAGTGCTGGAACTCACCTCAAAACTAATCGTTGAGGAAGACAAACTCATTCCTTCCGAAAGTACCTCATATGCTCATTTGGGAAACTTAATCACCAAACATGTCTATTCATTTGTTCACCCGTAAAAATCAAAAGAACGAACAACGTGCATTTGTGATAACTCCAGAACATCCAGAACATGACGATACAATCCCAAATTGCAGAACCTATTGTGACTAAGTCTTTCACTCGTACTTTTTCTGAGAGCTTCATGGGTGGCCATAACACAACCAAAAAGCAATCCAAATCAAACACACTTAGTACTACTGGGCGCTTCAAGATCGACGCTTAAGCTTTATACTAACAATGACATTACCTCCTTTCAAGACCGTTCCTCCCTAAGAACGCAACTGCCCGCCCAATCCACCATGATCCTCTCCAGCACTAAAACAATATAATGATAAACATATAATGCTAAACAAAAATTCTCTAATTTCCCTAGTACAGTCCTATTCACCAACATAAGACAAAAACAACATAACAACAAAGAAAACCGGACTTGGAGAAGTCACACACACAGCAACCACATCTGTTGTTGGAAACGACGTAAGTAAAGAAAGGATTATTTACCAACAAGCAACATCGTCAAGTATATCCATATGCATGTGTAACTACAGACCTTCTAGAATATAGCAACAAAGGCATGCGTTGACCCATTATACCTAATCTACAGAACTTATCAAATCATCATGTCGTACTATTTGAAACAAGCACTAAATCATTGCTTTGAGGTTACAACAAGGCACTGGATATCATTCCCATGCAATCATGGCAGCAAAGAGCTGCATGTTTCAGGCAACTTCCAGAGGGGAATATTCGGTTTATCTAAGCTCCTTCAGTAGCATTGGTAACATGCACACTGAAACCAAGCGCCGCACTCCCTGCACGCATCACAAAGTGATCAAAGAAACCTGCCTGCGCCCATAGATGTCCAGGCCGTTCTTGGCCTGGCCCAGGTCCTTCATGTCTCGCCGCCCGGACCTGGCGAGATGTGTTGGCGCAAGCACCAGGTCGATATGACATGACCCTTACCCTCCCACGAAACTTGATAGGGGGTCCCTTTACAGTAAAAGGGAAAATGGTGCAAACCAGAAGCCCCTGTCAGGTTCCATGTTAATTGGTGGGAGGGTACAACAAATGTAATCGGAGGTTTCGGGCGCCGAAAGATGCAAATGCTCCAATAGACTTGGTTGCCTAAGGCGCACTCAGTCGTGGAAGTAAGCTGCGTCGAGGAAAAACAAAGAAGCCACAAGACGTCTAATCTCCTTCCCCAATTCCATCATCTCACGCCAGCTTGCCATCTGCCCAAGGTCCCGGAAAAACGACAATCAACATCAAGGCGCCGAATTCGGAAGTGTGAGGCGAACCTGCTAAGGCTTGTCCTTTTTGTGGGAACCCCTTGAACATTGACAGCTGTGGGTATGTGTCAACATAGGCGAACCCGAAAAAAATACGGCTTCCTTCTAGTTTCTCTTCAAAACCAGCCAGAAAAGAGTACCCTAAAAAAGCACAGTCCGACCAGGAGCGCTACATTCTACACCGCGCAGTGCCGCGACTGCACCGAGATCGAAGCGTCAGCTAGTTACAAAACCAACTTCCGAGAGAGACTATCATCTCAAAAGCACCACAAAGAAGAAGACAAAGAAAACCCTGATTTGCAGACCAATATTCGATCAGCTGCATCAACAACTCAGTACCTTCACTGGGAAATCGAGATCGCCGACGCTTCCTTGCACGAGTCAAACCAACGGTCTATGCCAAGACGCGTATCTCGCTCAAAGTAGCCGCCACCTCCTCAGCTGATGGGGGCCATTGGATGAGGCCCGAGCCATTCGTGAATTGTGTATCCTTTGTCAGTCTACGCAACATTTGCATATAAGAATACATATGCGGAACAATTGGATACGCGAGCGACATTCGGGGCTAGCAATGGCCCAGGCAATCTATCTACACATTGAGCGTATCTACCCTGCAGCGCGCGCCTCCCAAATGACTAGCTATCCATTCACCACTTCGCTAACTTTGGTCGCGCAAGGTCAACTAGGAGACTTCAGCTGAAAACCAAGCCCATACCTTTGTACTACCCAGTTGCGCAGAGCCCTTGGATTGGAACCAAAAGAGAAACGGTTTTGGATTGATCATTTGTCGAGGAGAGTCGCGCAACCCACCGAGCAAAAGGGAGCGTACTGCCGCTGAACAATTGAGACGATGGTGCAACAAGCTTTTGGCAGGCATGCAGAGTCTTGGCCCTACTGTTGTGGCGCACAGACATTGCAGTTCTGGATGCGGCTCACCACCTCTGTGCACGCACAAAGATGACATGTCCACAGTCAGTTCACATCTTTCAAGAAGTTTCTCGTGGCAGGGGAACAGGCATCAGCTTCAAAGTCCTGCAAGGCAGCGCTGATCGCTGCTGTCGGGGCAATTCGTGGGCATTCGTGTGCTTGAGCTTGGAAGCTCTGCCAGGCGTCGGCGCTCCACAAGGTCAAGCACCGAGCGCCGAGCTACTTGATTCATGATCCCATTCGTCCTGTTATCAAGCCCAGGGGTCGATTCCGCGAAATGGCCTAGCAATTGCCAATAGGGTAATTGCCAATAGGCCGTTTCTTTGTTGTGTGGGGCCCAAAATGAACACATCGTGTTTTCCCGTGATTTTCCATTGAAAACCAACCAGCAGAGGGTTCTCCCATGTTCTCCCCACCCACTCGGTTCTTGACCCACCCCCCGCACCGGGCCGTGCGGCGGCCCAGGCCCTGCTCGGAGCGCGCGGACTGGCGAAGCTCACGCTCCTGGCCATGTGAATGGAAGACATCCGTTCCTAGGCACATTTCAGAAACCCTAGGAAACCAGAGGAAAAAGTTTATACATAACTCATTCCCCGCTGAGCACGAGCAGGGTTTGAGAATCCCGCAGGGGTTTCCAGACTATCCTGCACCACCCAAGAAACCCTGGAATCATGATGATTCCCCTGCAAATACCAAGAAACAATGAGAGTTTCGATGTTTCACCCTATGATTCGATTCCCCCTAACGGTAAATAACAAACGTTACGGGTTCCGATTTATGGTTTTAAAGTAGTGCGAAACGGATTTTGTCCATCCACGGTATTCAGTCACCGGATTTTCAAAGACAACTGGTCAACTGGTCAACCCAAAATGAGATGTGGGTGGGGTTCCATGTTTGAAATGTTTGCTTGGTTTTAAAGGGCAACTAAGAGGAAACCCGAGCCCATTTTTCGGGGGGTCCCGTCCCAAAAGGACACACTCATGTTTAGATCGATGGGCCATGATCAGTCAGTCCACGAGTTCCCCTAAAAGCTGGAACCCACTTTTCGAGGTGCAAAAAAGGGAAATGAATGTTGAAAAGTAAAAGAATAGGTTCTGGCAACTGTGTTCTGTTGAAACTATGTAAGTACATGTGCAATGCATATTAGCATAATGCAACAAATAGCCCAAGCACGTCTCGGCTGTTTGTGTCACTTCCCGCGAACAACATGAAGGAGACAATGTTCTGGACCCCTAAACCCTAAGCAACAACCCTTGGCCTGAAGGTCCAATGTTTGGGGTGACTTCCCCAACCCCCGAAACGCGGCATTTAGAGGACCCCCTTGGAGCAAAGGAGCCGGATGCTCCTGTTCACGTTCGAATTCACGCGTGTCTGGCTCAGTTTCTCACGTCGAGTAGAGTGGCAACTCTTGCGCGCCGCCAAGTTCATGAGAATGCGCTGGTATAAGTTATCAAAACATCAGGGTTATATGCCAGCCGTGGGAGGGTAAGGGGTATATCAGCTTCCCACTTGGGAAGAGACTGGATGGAGCTTCAATTTTAATCAGGGGCGTCCTTCCGCTTCATACCTGTCCGAAGAAGAACTTCCTTCTTGGCGGGTGCTTTCCTGGTTCCTTCTCCAGAAAAGTGTGGCTTTTGACGCACTGGACCAAAAGAAGGCAAAGGGCGAAGTCGTTGTGCAAGTTCATGGACCCCAGAATTTGAAGACCCAACGCATCATTTTGAGGATCAGTTCAGAACGCCAGCCAAGGTGGGGTGGCTTTGACCCCCGCGTAGCCAGCCTTAAAGCCGAGACGGACATGCATCTGAGCAACTCATCTGCCTATATGCAGGCGCCGCAGGCGCCCCTTAGGTGCGTAACTTGTTTTTCTCCAACCAGGGGATACCTGACAACAAATCCCCTAATTTGCTCAGGTCCATTGTTTGCGGGATCTTTTTACAAATTGGCTTCCTCCATTGCATCCGAAAATTGATTTTCAGGAGTTCCTAAGGTCGTTCTTTGCAACTGTCCTTGCTCTTGCTCTTACTTACTTAAGAGCGACAATGTCCTTTCCAGTGCCGACAACTGCCCCTGAAAATTTGAAAAGAGGGCAAAGTAAAACATCGTAAGCTGGGTGAATGCAACCTCCCGACCAAAAAAGAGAGATAAGAAAGAAACCCTCATGAGAGCTCTCGCGCGACAAGCTACGCGCAACCAATCTGCGGGTATTTCACGGGCCACTAGCAGCGCCCTGCCACAAGGGTCCTGACTGGGTGCGTCTTTCCTTGAGGGTATGCCCAGTCTTGTGGTTTTAAAGGGGAACCAAAAGGAAACCGAAACCATTTGGGGGGGGGAAGTGGCGGGTTCCCATATTGTCGGGCCCTGCAATCTCGCTGACTGATCCGAAGTCTCCTCCCGCTTCAACACCGAGCACTTGCTGCAGTGCGACACCGTGGACACCTAAGGAATCTCAGCGGAACATCCTTGAGAACTGCAATTCTACGGTGGATAGGAAACCCCTGCAAAGTTCGCAGTTTACCGAACTGTCGTTGTTGAAAGGCTCACTTGCATTTTTTGAACAAATTTAGAGCATCCATTGTAGATTCACAGCCTGAAACCATTCAAATCACCCTCCCTTAGACGCGGAGCCTGATGTTCAACTGCTTGCTTGAGTCCAAGGACCCTCACAAAACCGGAGCACAAGGACTGGCCCGGCGCCCAGTGCCGAAACAACTGCGAACGAAACTGAGTATGCAAACGGCACATTGAGCAGGGCACCCATTTGTCGAGGGCTCCCATTCACAGATTTGTTGAAGGGCAAGCCGGCAGCGAAGCTGCGGTTTTTCAGGTGTCTGCATTTCGAGACGTACCCACAGCAGCAACACCATGAATCCCCACTAAACCGGGCAGGCCCCGTACTAAAATGGCCAACTCAGCAGGTTTGGGCGCCGCTCGACTCGCTTTGGATTGAGTTGAGCGAAGGGCTCTTTTTCTATCCGCAGGGGTTGAGGTTTGCCCGTATTGCACGACTCACTGCAAGCTCAGGGTTGCTGGCAAGCGCAGTCATGATCACATTTAACACCAGTCGCAGCGGATACAAAAGCAAACATTCAGTCTATCACACCTTGAATATGATGAAATCGATTGGCAAGGCGCCTCGTTTCAGGTGCTCGATTCTCCTCCCACCCCCGGCCCCTGAGACGGAAACATAGGCTGACTTGTCTAGTGTCCAAGGGGTTTAGATGGACTTATCCGCTGATTGGCTCCCAGTTGGGTGAGCAACCACCAAGCCCAACTACATGTTTGACCCCCTGCTGTTTCTAGATGCTTTAATTTCACATCAACTCATTTGAATTGAGAGGTCCGGGGAAACAGAACTTTTGGTTGAAACCGACCTGTTGACCCTCACATAGATCGACCCGGTTAAAAGAGTTGGTTCTGCTCCCGGTTTTTTTCGCGGCCCGCCGAGACTCGTTGAGATGGCCACAGTCGCACTCCCACCTGACAGTCTTCACAGTTTCCTGGGAACCCTCCGCACTGCTCAAGTGAATTGGGACGGAGATGTCCATTGACCAGGGGAGGAAATTTATGGAACTCCTCCCAAGTGTCACAAAGGTTTCACCTCGGGTCGCTGGTGTCTCTTGGCCCCCGCTGCTATCGTGCTTCAACGGAGTGTGAATGCAAAGCCCTCAAACCGCCCCATGGAACGTTTGTTCTCACCTTAACGACGTTGGACCGGTCTAAGGATGTGCCAAAACACGCATGGCAAAGCGGATGGCAAAAAGACATTGCCCTGCAACAAGAAAAGCAAAAGCTTTGCGCTGCAATGCGCTGAGATGTTCGAAACTTCGGGCTCGCCAATGGCCAGTGACCACATGCGAGGGTGGCCCATCGGGGTTTCGGGAGGGTTAGACGTCAGGGACACCAAGTACCCCCAGGCTAGCAGGGGCCCAATGCCCACCGATACTCTTCTACAACCATGCTTCAAGCTGATTGGTAAAAATGAAAGAATCAGTTTCCTCTGACAAGGGTCAGCTGAAATGGATCTGTCAAATCCACGATGTGGACGTAAGCCGTTCTCCAACCCTAATCCACCCCTCACCCCTCAGCCCTCAGCCCACCCCACCCCCGCCCAACCCGACGCCTGGGCTGTTCGTCCGCGCTCATTCGCGCGCTGCGCTCGGTGGGCACCAGCTGAGGTGCGCGGTCCCAGACCATCGCGAAGCGGCGCGAGGCGAAATTCCGGCGCACGTCGGTCGCTGCGCTTCTCCGGTGAAGACACCTCTTTTGCCTCAAGACTTGTTTAGGCTCCGGTCCGGTGAACTCTGTGAAATGTGGTCCACAGGAATTTCAGGGAAGGAATCAAAATAAGATGATGGTAGCAATGCTGCGATCATGTTTAGTTGAGATGTATGTTGTGGGTGGGTGTGGATGAAAACGAAGAGAAGCACAAGCTCGTGGCCGCATTGCCGGGAAGTTGAATGTGGGTTGAGAACAGGAAGCTAGAATCTGTTCGTGTGCTTTCCCTAGCCAGCAAGTGCGCAGTGGTTTGATATATATATATATATGCCAAATGGGTCAAAGCAACATCACATTCAAGTCGCTGTTTTTGTCTTGGTCTCCCCTTAAACGACATAGCCAGTCTGGCGTTCCCTGGAAGGGATTCATGGCCTGTTCAGCCCCCGTGTGAGCTGGAGCCTGAAGGCCAAGCTACTAAATATGTTCCACATCGTTCCGAAGCGCATCTCTCAGCCCGCAGGGACACTCACCTGCGCAACGTCTTCACATCTTGCGGCCAAAACAAGTTTTCACGATTTTCTTGACGCAGGGCTGTTGACCATCACCAGAACCCCACCCTTCTGGTGTCCGCGTGTGCATTGAAGGGGAAGAAAGCACGGCGGTAGGCATCTGCTCCCAAGCAGGACAATAACATATTCAACGAGCAGGAGAGATGTGAACAAACACACACACACAAACACACACACACACACACACAAACACACACACACACACACACACACACACACACACACACACACACACACACACACACACACACACACACACACACACACACACACACACACACACACACACACGTTGCAGCACAAGCATTGTGGCTTCGCGTTCTGTAACAGCTTAGGGTCTGGTTGTTTAAACAAACTTTGAACCCTGCTCAGGCTCCAGAAAGTGGCAATCATGAAATCATTGAGGGTGCTGAAGCAGTGGCCGCGGTGTTGCAACACAGCTTCTGATACTTCCGTTCATTCTGACAGTAAGCGAGCGCGCCATCCAGACTCGGGCGCCCTGGCCGTCCTTGTGGGCGCAGGCAACGCTGACCTCAGGGAGCGGTCCAAATGGACCCTTTCTTGGACTAAGGAAATGCTCTGGGAGATGTTCTTGATGCACTGTGCGCAAAATTGAAGGCCCTGTCAGTCCCGTTGGGTGGTCTGAAAAGAGGAAAGCACGAAGAATAGTAGATACTGTTTTGCTAGGTTCAAAAAACAAATGGAACAACAACTGGTAAGAAGGCCTCCTGACACCCGTGGATCTTCCACAAGTACGTCAAGTCACAATATGTCTGTTGCAAACCCCTCCTGGGAAGATGACCGCAGCCAGCAACGGGATTCTTTGCTCAACTTGACCAAATCGTAAAGCCAAGTTTCGGCCCATGTCCATCACGTGAGCCCTTTTCCAACTGAGGACTGCCCAGTAGTGAAGACACTCTCCAGCACAATCAGCAGACTTTGAAGCACGTGGGCCGCTGCACGAAACGCTGGGAGGATGTGGGCACCGTCCATCCATCCGAGTTCAGAACCTGCGCCATTTATATCCAACCTGGCATAACGATCAACATCGCTGTGGATGCTCTGCCCAGTCTGAGGGGCCGAGCTCAAAACTATTTGCATCCGGCCACCTGCTCGACCAACCCTCCACACCACGATGCGGAGCGTGAGCAAGCCACCGCCACCCTGGTGGGGGCTGTGGCTGGCCAAAACTCCTCCTGTGTGTCATGGTGATGGTAGCATTGCTCTTCATGAAGGCAAGGCAACACATGCTCAAGGATTGACCATCCCCGGAAGGCCACTCAAGGCAATGCCCCTCAACATCTCGAAACGTTAACGGCTTTTGGCTTCCATGTTCATCTGAATGCGAGTAGAAGGGCAACCGGCTGAAGGGACCACAGACAGCAAACTGGAGCCTATGCTGATGTTGTAGGCACAGCATATAGCGCATGTGTCTTGTTTAGACGGTGCGAAAAAGGAAACCAACCATTTGTAGGTGCCCCCTGTTGGCTGATAGGATCCTAATTGGGGGGCCGCAACACAAACTTGGGGAACCCCTCCAAAGCTGACTTCCTGTGTGGATCGGCCAAAAGTCCAGACTGTGTTGCTCCCTCCGACAGACTGTAGACGAGCAAAAAGCTGCTTCGTTTAAGGTTTCTTCACTGGCACGGCAAGATGCCAGTGAATGTTATCCCATTGGGCGCGCGCTTGTCCATTCACCCGCAAGCACCCGTTCAGCACTGTATCCATGCTTGGCAAGTTGTGAGCACGCCACACGCATCCTCTCAGCACACCCATGCCTGGCAAATGGTAAGCACACTCAGCCAGGCGCATGGGGCGCTCGTCAACAGCCAGCCCGCGCGTTGCTTACCAGCGAAATGACCAACAAGAATGAATTCCATGAGCTCGGGGAGTGAGCTATTGTTGGAAACAACCTCCTTTTAGTGTCCCTTTAAAAGGGAACCAGCCGGGGAGATGTGTCAGCAGTTGCGCCAGGGGCTGGAGGCTCTGGCTGCTCGCTGCAGTACAGAGAAGCTGCGGGGGGAGACCTGCGCAATCGAGAGCACGACTCCAATGCTGGGGGCGTGTTTTGAAGTAAAATCACGGAACTCCAAACCCTAAATCGCCCACCAAGCCCCAAAATCATCTGCGCTATTGATTCACCTAGTGGGAGTTGAATTCTGGAACTGAATATGTGAAGCATCCGAAATGACTGCAATTCACTGACTGAAAACAGGAAATCATCAAATGATTGGTGCAGCTTTACACCGGAGCCAACATGTTACAATCTATGGTTGTTTTAGGGAGTACACTCAGCAACCCAATGTGACACAGGAGTTTGGCCAATAGCCCCCACTATCCAACGTCAAGTTGGTGAGTGTGCCCCATGTCAATCGCTTCCCTTCCAGTTCAAGATTCTGAATACTGGGTGTCGCTCGGCCCCCGCCAACAATCATGTAAGCGCCTGCTTCGAAAAGGAAATCTTGCGTCTTCCAAACCCTCCGAGCTTCGGAGGGGAGGGTTCGGCCAGTTGCATACAGCTTTGGTTCATCACACTTGGCCTATCTCATTGATCCCTACCACCCCAAAACCCCCAAACCCACCCCTAAACTCTGGCAAGGATCCCTAACCATTTGGGGGAGGTGTCGTGTCCCCCACCTTTGCATCCCCCAGCTTTTCCAGGAGCTCGTGCGCATTGACACGGCTCTTCTCCCAGCCTAGAGCGAAGCAGTGGCCGACTTCCCCCCCTTGGATGAAACTGGTTTGGCAAAAAGCAACTGCCCGAAGAGTCATTTGCCGTGACCTCAGGGAGCAAGCTATTGTTGCAGCAAAATTAAGCAATTTTTGCCCGTAGCGAATCAACACGAGCGATGGAAGGAACAAGTTTTGACAGCCGGTTGTTCCAAATGTGAAAAGATCTGATGATAGGAACATGAGGCCATGTTTGGTGTCATGGTGGTTTCTTCTGATCTTCCGCATTATTCTCCAAAGATTGATGCGTTCCAAGCAAACAATCAACCTGGATCTCAAAGGCTGCACCTACTGTAAACCCCCTTCGGCACCAGGGTTGGGAGAAACCCGAAGCCACCGGAGCACGAGTCTCGAGTCGATCTTGGCCCCCGGCAGCTTTTGCCGAGCCGATCTCTCAGGTAGCGGCAATAGCTGATGCCCTAGCGCAGATCTCCGGAAACTTTCTCCAAATGGAACCCCAAATCCCCCCCAAGAATCTGTGCTTTGGTTCTCTGTTAAAGCAAACTAAGAAGGTAAGGTAACTCCGGGCCATGAGGATTTCGAGCCGTTGTCTGAGAATGGGAGCTTGGTTTTCACGCGTCTGTCTAAGCGTGAGAAATGACGACCAAATTTCTCCGGTGGCGGCAGCATCATGACTATCTGGTTGAAAATACCCCGCAAACCCATTCTAACATCATCGACCTCTGAGGGGGTCTCTGGGGAGATATCCGGGCTTCCAAGGATAGCCCCCTCCGTAGCACCCTTGGAGTTCCAGAAGAATCTAGGCCCGTATCGTATCTTGGCACACATCTGGGGTACACTGAACAAAGTAGACTCGTTCCGCTTATGGCCCTCCCCAGACATCGAACGTTGAAAGGAGGCAGCCTACCCTACATATTTTCGGAGGAGGCCTCAGTCAAAGGCGGCTTGAGCGGTCCTCCATGACGTCGCAAAGGTTCACGTGCCCGGGCAGCGCCTGCGAATCCATGCCAGCATCCCCAGTATCCCCTGAGACTCAGGTTCCTCGTAAAGACGAGACTAAAAAATGAAGACACGCATGTGTATTATATGTAAGCAGCTTTATAAGCATATATATATATATAATCTATACATTTTTGAGGACTTCCGTCTGCACTGGTCTGCTCGGGGTCACTTTTGCTTCATTCTCCTTGATATGGCTCTTCTGCCCTAGGCCTTCTGCTCTTCCCGTCCTCCAAAAACGACGAGTCCTGTCCCTCAATTCGCACTGACTGACGCCGAATCGTCCTGGGTTCGCAACTGTTTCGAGTGCGGCAAACGTATTTTCCTTCCGAAAGAACTGGTCTGAGGGCAAGCTATGGCAGCATCCACTTTCAGAAAACATGTATCTCCTACCGGGGGTGTCGGCAAACTTATCTGCAAACTACTATCGCAACATCTACTTTTGTTTTTAAGCGGGAAAATGTATTTCCTTTACAAAAGCTGGTGACGCTGGAGTGTCCACCGCTTTATCTACAAATGTTCGCGACATCTGCTCTTAGTAGGCGGAAAAGCATTGTCTTTGCTAAAACACTGGTGATGCTGGGGGTGTCGCCCACTTTATTTCCAGGACTCGTCCAAAGCAGACCGAGCTATGTGGGCTCGAAAAGTGCAACTTTGAAATTCGGCTGCCAAGAACTTTGATGCCGCCGAGCGAGTCTCAAAAGTCGAGTTTGGAAACGA